GACTTTCCCAAAGCTTTGCCTTATATACCCTTAGGCTAGCCCATTCAAAGGCTTGTCAGGTCATTCAACTATTTGAAGTCTTCAATGCGTTTTACGCAAATGCCCATTAACTATATTACACCTATATATTCCTATGTAAACTTAGACCCACTGTTGCCCCCAACCCCCCACCCCCAGGGGTCATGATTTGAACAAATTTAATCTACACTACCTGAGGATATTTCTGTATTAATATGTCTAATAATGGCTTAGCTGTTATGGAGAAGAAGATTTTTAAAGATATTTCCTATAAATTCCTATGGTAAACTTAGACCCTCTGTTGTGGCCTAGCCCTACCCCCCAGGTTTATGATTGGAACAAACTTGAATCTACACTATCTGAGGATACTTCTGTAATAATATGACTAATCATGGCTTTGCTGTTCTCGAGAAGATTTTAAAGACATTTCTTACATATTCCTATCTAAAACTTTGACCCCCTCTTTTGGCCCCGCCTAACCCCCGGGGGTTATGATATGAACAAATTTGAATCTAGAATATGTAATGAAGCTTTCATATAGGTTTCATCTTTTCTTGCCCAGTAGCTCTTGAGAAGAAGAGCTTTAAAAGATGCCACTAAATTTTCACGAATTCTTAATTATCTCCACTTGAAAGAGAGCGCGGCACTTCCTGTGAACAAACTTGAATCCCCTTTACCCAAGAATGCTTTGTGGCAAGTTTGGTTGAAATTGGCCCAGTGGTTCTGGAGAAGAAGTCGAAAAAGTGAAAACTTTACAGACGCCGGACGGACGCCGGACAATCTTTGATCAGAAAATAATAACAGTGTGTATGAAATCATGCAAAGAAAAACATCAGCAGAACAATTAAGGGAACGGACAGTGTCAACATTTTTTTTTTAAATAAATGTACAAAGTTATCTTAGAGTTTACCATTCTATGTACAAAGTTTTCTCAAAGATTTAACATTTGAATTTGACATGAACTTTACAACATTTGGTCTACTGCAGTATAACTAATACCTGGTATCTAACAAGAGGCCCATGGGCCACAACGCTCACCTGAGTCAATATGGCCCTGCTGTTCTTTGTCAGCAGATTTCTTCTCCTATATATTCATATGTAAAGCTTTGATCACCTGCTCTAGGCATACCCTATCCCCAGGTGCCATGATTTGAATGAAATTGAATCTAAACATTCTGAAGATGCATATATTCATATAACTAATCATGGCTTTGCTGTTCTTGAAAATGGAATTTTAAAGATGTCTGTCATCCTACCCGGGGGGCTGGGGGGGGGGGGGGGGGTCATGATTTGAACAAACTTGAATCTACACTACCTTAGGATGCTTCCATGTCAATATGACTAATCATGGCTTTGTTGTTCTTGAGAAAAAGATTTTTAAATATATTTCCTATATATGTTCTTTTGTAAAACTTTGATCTCCCATTGTGGCCCCACCCTACTTCTGGAGGATGCCTTGAACAAACTTGAATCTATAATACTTGGGGATGCTTCCATATCAGTATGACTAATCATGGCTTTCCTGTTCTTGAAAAGATTTTTTATGTATATTCCTATGTAAAACTTTGTTCCCCAATTGTGGCCCCACCCTACTCCCGGGGGTCATGATTTGAACAAACTTGAATCTACACTACCTGAAGATGATTCCATATCAAAATGACTAATCGTGGCTTTGTTGTTATTGAGGAAAAGATTTTTCCTATATATTCCTATGTAAAAACTTTGATCCCCCATTGTGGCTCCACCCTTACCCAGGGGGTCTTGACTCGAACAAATTTGAATCTAGACTACCTGAGGATGATTTCATATCAATATGACTAATTGTGGCTATGTTTTTCTTGAGAAAAAGATTTTTAAAGATTTTTTTTTATACATTTCTATGTAAAACTTTGATCCCCCACTGTGGCCGCACCCTATATTTGTACAAATTTGAAACTACACTACTTGAGGATGATTCCATTTCAATATGACTAATTGTGGCTTTGTTGTTTTTGAGAAAAAGATTTTTCAAGACTTTTCCTATATATTGCTATATTAAAAAAAATGAAACCCCAATGTAACCTCACCCTACCCACAGGGATCATGATTCGAACAAACTTGAATATACACTTCATTGTACTTGAGGATGATTCCATATCAAAAATGACTAATTGTGTGGTTTTGTTGTTCTTGAAAAGAAGATTTTTTTCTATATATTTTTTGTAAAACTTTGATCCCCCATTGTAGCCGCACCCTACCCCGGGGGTCATGATTTGAACAAATTTGAACCTACACTACCTAAGGATGATTCCATATCAATATGACTAATCGTGGCTTTGTTGTTCTTGAGAAGAATTTTTTTTTTAAAAAATTACTATAATATACGTATTTCTATGTTAAACTTTGATCCCCCATTGTGGCCCCATCCTACCCCAGGGGTCATGATTTGAACAAACTTGAATCTACACTATGTAATGAAGGTTTCACATAAGTTTCAACTTTTTCAGCCCAGTGGTTCTTGAGAAGAAGATTTTTAAAAGATACCACCAAATTTTCACTGATTCTTAATTATCTCCCCTTGAAAGAGGACATGGCCCTTCATTTGAACAAACTTGAATTCTCTTTACCCAAGGATGCTTTGTGGCAAGTTTGGTTGAAATTGGCCCAGTGGTTCTGGAGAAGAAGTCAAAAATGTGAAAAGTTCACTGACGGACGACGGACAAATGGTGATCAGAAAAGCTCACTTGAGCTTTCAGCTCAGGTGAGCTGAAATTTTTTTCTTTATTTCTGAAAAAGTTGTACATTCTAAAATGTAGTGGTATTCATCACCTAATTTTCCGTTGTTACCGAGAAATACTGATATGTTTCACACTCCTCCGTTGCTTCTGATCCCACCTCTGTTTTCAGAAGTCCTTAAATTTTTTAATTAAATGGTTTGTGTCGCTTATAGAGGTCTTTTGAGCATAGTATAGTACGTTGCTTGTTCGCTATTGTCACATTTCATTCAAAGTGGGAAATAAAGTTTTGGACCAATTTGACTCCTGAAATTCCGACTCATTATGTATACTCAATTATATATGGAACATTAACGTGGGAGGATTTGACTATGTAGCACAGGGACGTAGCATCGTTTTTGAAAAGGGAGGGGGGCAGCCAGAGAAAAAAACTTTCAACTTACCTGAAAAAAAAAAAAAAAAAAAAAAATCTCCAAACTCGAAAATCCTATTTCGTGGCGGGGGTGGGGGTGGGTGGGTGTGGGGTGGGGTGGGGGTGGGGGGTGCATGGGGGGGTTATATATATATATATATATACTACTACTACTACTACTACTACATTACCTTCATTTGACTATACTGCAACAAAAAAAGGGGGGGGGGATAACACAGAATTTTCATGGTGCGGGAAATTGAAATTAATATTATCTGTATAGTTTTGCTTAAATACGACTGCGCGGGTCCGACGAACGAAAAAAATTATTGGTGTGGCCTAAATTAAAATTTTTAATAAGACTAGCTGACTTACACTAGATCACAATATGATACAGGGCCTTAGGAACCGGGAGAGTGGGGGATAGGTACCCTCCCCCCCCCTTAATTTTGCCGATATATAGATTACTATAGAGAACATAGCTACTATATGTTTGTGCCCACTCAATAAAAACGTCTGATGACCTAATTTTTTTTCCCTCCCCCCCCCCTTTTTTTTTTTGCTTGTCAAGGAAATTTTGGTAGTTGATAGTGCCCCCACCATGCAACTGAAATTGCTTCCTACGAGCCTGTGATAAGACTGAGGAACATAAGCTGGCAAGATTGGAAATATGCAGATTATGTCATATCCATCTGTTTTTTATTCAGTTAAAACTATGAAATGAGCGGGTACAATTCGCGATCGACACGGACGTCTGAGAAACATTCTAGATTGAAGTTCCAGTTGAAATTCATTTTCAATCCACCTAAACTATTTTCATACACAAAGCGTTAATATAAAATCCAAAAGACCAATAAAAAAATTCAATTCAAACTCAAAAAGTTTCTTATTTATCAATAAATGAAATTAAAATTATTTATTTTCAAGATATCCCCCCCCCCCCTCGGAATCAAATGGTCTCCCCTATGAGGCGCCGTTTTTGGTATTTACTGCCATTTAGTGATATCACCAATTCGAATAGGTGATATCACCTATTCGAATAAGTGATATCACTCATTCAAATTGAAAAGGTGATATGACCTATTCGAATAGGTGATATCACTTATTCGAATAGGTGATATCACCTATTGGAAATGAATAAGTGATATCACCTATTCGAATAGGTGATATCACATATTCAGAAGCTGAATAGGTGATATCACTCATTCGAATTGGTGATATCACCAATTGAATAGGTGATATCACCTATTGGAAATGAATAGGTGATATCACCTATTCGAATGGGTGATATCACATATTCAGAAGCTGAATAGGTGATATCACTCATTCGAATTGGTGATATCACCAACTGAATAGGTGATATCACTTTTTGGCAGTAAATAACAAAACGGCGCCTCATGCTCCCCCTTTGTATTTTCTTAAAAACACTGGTCAAAATTTCTTTATAAATTACAAACTATTCTGATATTGAAATTATTTTTATTTTTTTGAATAAATCTGTAAAACCGTAAAATTCAATTCCCAAACGTGAAAAACACCTATTTCGTGGTAATAATGGGGTCCACGTTTTCTAGGGAGTCCAAAGTCATATTTATTTGCTTCCGTATATACTTTTAATAACTCTGCAAATTCCGGGGGGAATTTTGACTGTTACAGATGGAAATGACGTAAGGTGTATATTTCCAATTTTGCCATTAGTAATGTTTCTTTCAAAGAAGTAAAAACCGGATTTTTTCATTCCATTTTGTATAAGAAAAAAGAAATAGATTTCAATGATGATATCCGGTGTAATTGTTTTTGTCACGTGAATTCGAATTCGTGAAATGGAAACTAGATTATAATTATCGTAAAAGCAGGACAATGTTAGGGAAAACCATTCCCTGCATCAGTTTATTTTTGCAAATATCGCTGACATTCGGTGATTATCCATTTAGAAATGTTTCACTTCCTTGGTCTGAGAGAGTAGATGATTTGGTTGGGAGGTTGACTTTAGATCAGATTGTCCAACAGCTTGCGCGAGGTGGTGCAGGAGAAAACGGGGGACCCGCCCCCGCCATCGAGAGCTTAGGTATCGGACCCTATCAGTGGAATACAGAGTGTCTGAGAGGAGACGTAGAAGCAGGGAATGCCACCTCTTTTCCCCAGGCTATTGGGCTTGCTGCTGCTTTTAGGTAGATTACTAGATATATAACCACTGTGTCATGGGCACCTGAAATATAAATTTCATTATATAAGAAGTTTAAGTAAGTTGCAAATAAACATTAAAAATATTCCTTCCCTTTCTTTAGTCAGGTGCATGATTCAGTTATTTAGAAATGAAATTAAAAATATAACATTATGAACGATACTTGTAGTAAGTGGATATTCTGCAATAGGGTGTATTTAAAAAAATGTGTATTTTATAGTAAGGATCTCATCTATAATGTATCAAAAGCAGCAGCCACTGAAGTGAGAGCAAAACACAATGATTTTGTGAATCGAGGGATTTTCACTGACCACACGGGACTCAGCTGCTTCAGTCCGGTGGTCAACATTATGAGACACCCGCTGTGGGGCAGAAATCAGTTGAGTGACTCTGAAATTGTACAACAGAAACACAGTTCACTTCTCTGGACTACTGGGTTGTCTCTCCTGAACTGTTTTTAAAGGCAAACAATGTTCGATAATGATACTTATACATTTATGCAATATTTTTGTTTACAGGAAACATATGGGGAGGATCCATACCTTTCTGGGATGTATGCCCACTCTTTTGTCCAGGGACTTCAGGGAAGTAATGATAGATACATACAGGCCAATGCGGGCTGTAAACATTTTGATGCCCACGGTGGCCCAGAAGATATCCCAGTGTCCAGAATGGGTTTTGACGCAAAGGTTTGGGAATTTTACATACCTTTTGTCATTCGCATACAATTTAGAATAAATCTATTCTAAAACACCTTGATTTTAAAGACCTACAGCTTGTAAGTTTTGATTTATTTTTGTGAATTTAGAAATATTTTCTTCTAATTTCTTGTCACTATTTTTTTTCATTTAAAGTGTATCTTGAATTAATTTGACTGACACTGTGTACAATGTGTAATCTTTAAGTAAATTGGATTTTTCATCAGGTTTCTATACGAGATCTGAGACTCACCTTCCTACCAGCATTTAAAAAATGTGTAGAAGCTGGAGCTTATAGCCTTATGTGCAGTTATAACAGGTTTGTACATTAAAACAAATTGGAAAACAAATGAAATGTGAAAGAATCAAAGGTTAAAGAGAGAAGATTGATTGATTGTATGTTGTTTTAGGCTTGTTCGAGAATTAAAAAGGCATTGAAGTACCTGTACATAAGTTCATGTACAAGCAAAACTTGTATCATCGTCATTTCTTAGAAAGCTATTATTGATTCATTATGTAGAAAGATAGTCTCATGCAGTTCAATTGACTTATAATACTGGTAAACTTAACTGTTCTGTTGGACATAGTTGAGTTCATAAGAAAGTGCCTGTAATACTGTACTGTCAAAGCTCCCTTACCCAGTACCTGTAATACTGAACTGTCAAAGCCCTTACCAGAAAATAAAAACAAAATGTTTAAATGCAGAATATATAGTCTTGTTAGATATTTTATCTTCTGTTCTAGAATAAATGGAGTACCAGCATGCAGTAATGATCTTCTCCTGCTAGATGTTTTAAGAGGGGAGTGGAACTTTACTGGATATGTGGTCAGTGATGAGGGAGCCATAGAAAACCAAATCACCTTCCATAAATACTACAATAACACAATAGATGCTGCTGCTGGGTCAGTGAATGCTGGGTGTAATCTTGAGCTGTCAGCAAATCTAAAGGACCCTGTCTTCATGAGCATTGGTAAATAATGGCTTGTGAAATCATTTTAATTTCTCGGGATCAATTTTGGCTGGCAATCAAAATTTTACTGGTTATGGGATGTAATTTTCTGTCAGTAACTTGTATGTACACTGTAAGATTCAATGAACTGATATGTTGACAAACTTGTCATTTATGGGGATGTAAATTCGTGGGTAAGGGTGCCAAGGAAATCAACAAGCATGGTCCCCCACAAAGATGATGCCATGGTACATGTATATATGATGAGTATAAACAATTACTTTATTAGATGTGTTAAATCTTCAGTTCTGGAAAGTTTCTCATTATGTGACTTGGGACAGAATTTCCTCATTTTCTTCTGAAGGTGATGCAGTTAAGAGTGGAAAGTTGGAGGAGTCAGTAGTTCGAGATCGAGTAAAACCTTTATTTTATACCAGAATGAGGCTGGGAGAGTTTGATCCCCCTGAGATGAACCCTTATTCATCTGTCAATCTATCTGTTATCCAAAGTGAAGAACACAGGAACCTGTCTCTCACAGCAGCAGCCAAGTCCATGGTTTTGTTGAAAAGGCCATCAAAGTTTGGTAGGGAGCATCTGATTGGTGGATTTCTTGCAGAAAGAATGGCAGTATGTAAAAAGAGAACATACATGTACTAAGTCTTCTAAAAAAATAAATTGAGTAAATTATTATAGGATGAAATTATTGGTATTAATATATAATTTTTTGTTAACTCTTAAGATTAATATCATAAGCTTTAGTTTAGAATATACAACTGTAAACTTTGACCCCCTCATTATTTTTAAATTTTTTGTGTGAAATCCAATCATGGAGATAAAGATACTGTATCAATATGTACTGCTTAATTGACATATATGCAATACTGAAAAAAAATGTTCAATATTTTAATGTAAGGGCTAGATTATCATAGATCTCACAGGTTTTTGTCTTCCTTAGAGTAGATATGTGTTAGATTGTATTTTTCCAATGCAAAAGTACATATTTTATTTCCTTCATTATTCATCACAGGTTATTGGACCAATGGCAAACAACAGTGACCAAATGTTTGGTGACTATTCACCTACAACAGATCCCAAGTTTGTGAAAACTCCTCTGAAAGGCCTCTCAGAACTGAACTTTTCTTTGAACTACGCAGCTGGCTGTTTAGATGGTACTCCGTGTCAGAACTACTCACAAGAGGACATTAAGACAGCACTTGTAGGGGCGGATCTAGTGGTGGTGTGTTTGGGAACAGGTGAGTTTATTCAGAGAATTTCATTTGGTAAGTATTTGTTGATAAAGAGAGATTACTGTAAATCATACTTTACTCTGTAGAACTTTTTTTGCACAATTATGGGAGACTGTTTGCTCACTAAAATTTCATTCTTGTATATAGTTCTATTACTCAAGATTATATAGTCACTACAGTAAAACATGTTTAGTACGAACACAGAAATAGCAAATTTATAGATATAGTGATTTTTCGGGGGATCCCCAGAAAATTTTTTTACAATTCCTAGTAAAATTTTACTGTTATAACAAACTCATCGGATATAACATATTTACAGAAATAGCAAACTGAATTTTTGTCTTGTAGTTCTAATTAAAAAATAACTCATTTTACATCTTTTATAGTGAATTTTTGGTCACTTGTGTCATTCAAAGGACCTATTGCTATTGATTTTCTCCGTAATTATGTATCCTCCAACGTTCATTAACACTTGAACATTTTCATCTTCTTGTCTGGAACATCTCAATCAATTTCAACCAATTTTGGCATATAGCATCTATCAGAATAGGGGAGCAAAAACAGTGAATTTCATGGACCCTGCCCCTAGAGCAGAAGGGATGGGGCTAAAACAATGAAATTTTGCTGTCTTTAGATATCTTCTTCTTTACTCCAGGACAACAAATAGTCAAACTTTTACAATGATTGTAATTGATAAAACCTTTCAAACATTCAGAATGTTTAAAATTGCAGGCAAAGGACTAGAAAGTGAGAATGTTGATAGAAAAGACATGGCCTTACCAGGGAAACAACTCCAACTTCTTCAGGATGTAGTTGCAATGAGTGAGCTATGTCTCAATCAAATATTCCTTCTTTTGTCAATGTATGAAGAGAAATATTTAGGTGTAAATGTTACAAACACTCAAATTCTTGCAAATCACTGCATTTGTTTTTAAAATTTCAGAAACTGTGAAAATTTAACAAATGACAAACTACATTCTGATTTAATGTTACAATACATAAACTACAACTACACAACTGTACAAAAATCATAGCAAGTTATAAATCTTGATCAGATTAACATGTATAACTTGCAATGATTTTTCCCCCAGCTGACAAAGCGGTGTACCTATTGGTGTTCTCGGCGGGGCCTGTGAACATCACCTGGGCTGAGGAGAGTGAAAGAGTGCTGATTATCATACAGTGTTTCTTCCCTGCCCAAGCCACAGGAGAGGTCGTTAAGCAAGCCCTCATTATGAAAGATGGGAGGTTTAATCCAGCAGGGAGATTGCCCTATACCTGGTACAAATATGCTGAACAGGTAATTACATGTAACAAGTTATGGATTTTTGAATTACATGTACATTTCGGAATCTGTTGAGTGTTGATGAAAGCATTCTTTATCTTAGACTTACTGATTATTTGTGCATGATTAATATCAATAGGGTTTCAATTGCTGACATTTTTTATGGGTTTTCCTTTTCTTTACTTCATATAATAATTAAAATTGTATAAAATTCCTTCTTATAATTACACGTAGGTGAAAATGACTTAATTTCCTTTATTTTCAATACACAGAGAATAGTGTATATGAACAAAGATCTTATCATACATTAAAAATATTTCTTCATTGCATATAAAAACAAAATTCCAGATTCCCTCCATGACCGACTATTCCATGAACAAGAGGACCTACCGCTATTTTACGGGTGTACAACTCTATCCTTTTGGTTATGGCCTCTCCTATTCGACCTTTGTCTTCAGTAAGCTGTATTTTGTGTCTAAGGTCAAAGCAGGGGATCCTAATGTTGTACAGGTCCGAGTATTCAACAAGGGTCCATTTGATGGGGATGAGGTAAGGCTTTTAGGATTTTTTTTAGTGGACTCATCTTTAATTAAATTTTTATTGGTACATTATTTTATTTTGTTGAAAGAGATAATGTTAAAGAAATTAAGACTCAATTTCTGTTCTTTCTATTTCCCTAAATTACATGTACTTGATCTTATTTCTGTGATATAATCAGGTCGTACATGTTAAACTATGCATGACTTACAATGTTTAAATGAATTTAAACATTCTTTCAGTATGTACATGAACATGTGTGATAAAAATCAATGAAATGCAGAAAATCATTTAAAAGTAGTGTAAATTTTTTATTAAGTTAATTTCATGTCAGTTTGATTATTTTACAGGTATTTCAAGTATACATAAAATGGTTATCTACAAAAGAAAAGATGCCTCGCCTTCAGTTAGTGGCATTTGAGAGAGTATTCATTAAGAACCTGCAGTATGTAGATATCACCGTCCCTATAGAAGCCCAGAGTATGGCAGTGTGGAGAGACGGTGTAGGATTTGTCATTGAACCAGGTACAACACAAATATATTTCAGTGAATTTTTTAATGCATTTATTGTAACAGGTGATATTAAATCAGAATTGCTGTAAATAAATGTATCTTTATATTTAATATATTTATAAAAACCACTATAGAGTTCTCTATCTGAAAATACTCTTGGATTATGCAAAAAATAAGACATATATGGATTTGAATAAATGCTCAGTAGTTTAATGCAATAAACCATGTTTGCAGGGTTGATACAGTTATATGCTGGTGGCCAACAACCAGATCAGAAAGTGACCGTTCCGTCCAACATCTTACAAGGAGAGTTTGAAATAATCGGGGAAAAAATTCTGTCTCCACAATAATAGTTAAATCATATCTATTGTAATTTTACAAGCTAATGCTTCTACAGCTTGTTATACTTAAAATGAAATTGAAATCCTGTATGAAACTATGATTCTATTTGTAATACTATGAAACATATTTACAAAAATGAAGAACCAGTTTAAGTAGTGTTGGATGAGGATTGAAATGCCAGTTTTTGTCTTCCATAGAAAGACCTACTGGATATTTTTTTAATGAATACTTATAATTTGTTTTCTCAATGAAATGTTCTTAATGCTTAGTATAATTTTTTTTTTACCCAATGGGTTGAGTGAAAGAGTTAGTCTTGCCATGAGTGATATAAAGCCTTTTTATTCTTACTCTTAATGAAAGCTTTTGTTTTTGATTTCTTATGATGAAGCTGTGATAAATTAAACACATTCCATTGAAGTTTTAAGTGCCATTTCATGAATTTTAGTGCAATATCTAAACAGTACATGGTTGTTTTGTAATATGTATCACCTAGTATAATGTCTCATGCTTTTATGTAGTATCTACATGTATACAAATGTTTTATATACATGTACTATGAAAATACAATCAGGAAGTTATACATACAGTTAATTTTGGTATCTCAAACTCTGATATCTCAAATACAAAAAATATGTTGAAGTGATTTAAAAGTCCCAACCACTATTTTCTTATAGTATTTTCACATCAATATCTTAAACCTTGAGATATCTCATTTTTTTCCAAATCCCATTGACTTTGAGATATTGAGATACATGTATGACGTACTGTATACAATACTTAATATATGAAATAGATTTAATGTATATGCACCATGTATGATTGTGTAATTTTGATGTATATTAGATACATGTATGTATACATGTATTTCAGCCAGTTGTGAAAAAGTACAGGTATTAGTACTTCAAGTCTTTGTAACGTACATGTGTAACATTGTGAATTCAAACAAAAAATGTTTTGTACCATTTTTTTTACCTTCAATTTTTGCAGCACTTCAGTGTTGCAATATTACCAATCTCATAAGTGTGGTTATACATCAAGATGTACATATATTTAAAGTAAGATTTTCAGTGCTGTACATTTTTTTTATTGCTCAGTCATAAATTATCAAGTGTAGGTTATGTTTACTGTAAACATACCTTTTTTCATTGGGGTTATAATTCCAGACAATCACATTTTCTGTTCAATCAACAGGTGGAAAATTATGCAGATTTTTGGATTGACATTCTATGTTTTAAATGCACTTTTAAGTACACTGTGACAAATTTCCATAAGAAAAATGTGACCATATACATAGTGTAAATTCCATGTTGGAAAATATACATCTACAGCATTTCAAATTTGTTTTACTTACATTTTTGTTATTTTTTAAATAACATTGAGTATGTATTTAAACAATCATGTACACATTGATGTATAATTATACACACAACTTGTTTTTTAGTACCGGTAATTATGAGTATATTAAAGTGACTTTATGAATCCAAAAGATCTTGGATGCGGATTTTTTGTTTGCAAAGATGGAAGAACAAGCATGCAAAATGCCCATAGCTAAAAATGTGTAAAAATCAAATTCAATTTGTGAATTCAGTATTTGTTTGTTCTTTTGGTCTGTTTAACATCCTTTCAAGAACACTCATATTGAGATGTCACCACTTGTCGGTGGAAGCCTGCAAATTTACACCTGTACTTGGCACTTAGGGCCTTTGAGCAGCAAGGAATCTTTTTCGTGCCAGCACCTACTGCAACTCGGAACCTCAATTTATATGGTCTCATGTGAAGGACCTGCCTCCACGTCTCGCAGCGGGATTCAAACCAGCGATATAAGGATCAACTCCTTACTCCTTGACTCTAGAGCAAATGCTCCAACTACTGTGCCACTCGGGCGACTAAATTAAGTATTTAGAGCAATTTTCTAACTATTGAATGGTATGAAATTATGAGAAACAAAACTTTATTGTGGAAAAATTCTCTTGGGAAAAATGTAACTACAAGTATCTTACAAACAATACACTGTTTTTACCAGAATTCTTGAATATTTAACATTCTCAAATTATCATCAAGTAATGCTTCATAATTTGAAAACAATATGAACTCAAGCAGATTCAAGATATAAATTTTATTTGTCAGTAAAAGTTATAAAACAACAAATTAAAATAAATTACATTCACAACAGATCATAACTGAAAAACTGATCAAAATATGTGTGCAATAAAAATACGCAAGCCATAAAGTACTGTATATAAAGGGACCCCTAACAATCTACATGTACAGAAAATAACAAAGCTTTATTTTAAGGAATGTTTGTAACTGATATTGGTTTGGTCAATTTCAAATAATGTGTAGGGATTAGGAAAAATGTTTCTTCTCTCTACTTTCTTTTTCTGAAACTCTCTCATCACAAATCAGCCTCACAACCTCAGAATTCTTACATTGTTAAATGACACCTTAATGCATGAAACTATTTACTGGAATGCTTTGCATGTACATATGTATCTCCTAAAACTTGCGACACAAACCTTGGATTTTATTAATGCACATGTACATGTCCCTGCAATGAGATAAATATATGATCACATACAGATAAATGTGTATTCAAAAGAAGTTATTAAGTTTTAATATACATGATGCCTTGAGAAATATAACTAATTCTAAAACTGAAAATTTGTTGTATAGATGCCAACTATTTCAAGCAGAAATATGAAAAAAATAGCAAAAAAGACAATATGGCAAGAAATTGAAATGAAAACAATAAACAATGAAAACTGATCTACTGTCAGATTTTATACATTTACATACACACATTTTATTATCATAAAAACCTTCAATTGATTTAATGCTGTTTTTTTTTTAAAGCCTCTATCTTAATGAAATCTAAAACCATTAAGCATTTTTTGAAAAATGTTGTTTATTTGTACAGCACTCTGCTAAGAGGGATAACTCAGATGTTGGGCGAAATTACCCTCTAAAAATCTTTTTCAGCGACCTGTCTCAAATTTTGACCTTCCTGCTTGAACTTTACATTTCCATGTATCTCTATTTTCTTTTAATAATTCATCATTATTCCATAAAATGAGCAAAGGGCTAGCCTGCCTAAATTACCATAAAAATATTTCTTACATCATATAAAGGCACTTCTCAAAACTACTGTATTCAGCTTTGGAGATCTCATTATTTTTTTTTATGTCTCCAATCTCTATTTTAAAAATGCAGTTTTGTCCATACTATCATTTAATTTACTTAAAATAATTGTAATTACTACACTCTGATAAACAGGGACGGCTGGAATTTAAATAGGTACCGATTCAAAATATACACTCTTTGATGCTTAGCTGTAAATATTGAAAGTTCATATAAAAATACACACACATGTGGGCTCGAACAACTCTACATATAGATTGCACTCTTGATAAAATTGTGGACAAATTCACAAAAATGCACAGAGTGTAAAACATGACTGTAAGTACACATGATCATCTGATAATGAAGTGAAAGCTACAACCTTTTTGTAGAGTTTAGTGACTTCAGAGTTTTTTTTTTAATTTTTTTTTTTTTTTTTTTTTTACAAATACAGACTTGAATACAAACATACATGTATAAATGGAGAACAAGATTTGTAGGAATGCTTTTAAGTGTACAATGTTATTCAACATGTAGAAGGAGTATTGTAAAATGTGCACTAGCTCCATTATACATGGCTAAAGTTCTGTTGCAAAACATACAGTTAACAATTAAATGATGTTTCTTTGGCCAGATTCATTATCTTCCTTCAACATCTGGTCAAAAATACCTTAGTTGTTACATAAATCCATCTCATAAAAAAAAGAATAATTCAAAATGTCATTCTGTGACAACTTCTTTGACAAAAAAAAAAATAATAAAAAAAAAAATGACTATTAAAATTAACACAGAATGAATATTCTTTTTCTCTAAGAGATGAAAATGAAGACAAAAGAAAAAATTCTATTGTCATCCTAGAAAATTTTTACATGTATAGTACATGTTTTGAGTGGCAATTTGTTAAATGGATTTCTGATTAAATGAGAATAATTTACATAAATAACATAGTACTTAAATCAAAATGTACCTCAGAATATAGTAAACGTTCACATTAAAAAAAAACAACTCATTCTTGAAGGTAAGTCAGTTTTTCAGAGTTTTCAAGTGAAATTTCAAAGGGAATTGGACTTGAAAGTTATATCTATTTCAATTCTCTCTATTGCCCAACTTTCAATAAATACCGGTATAAGTTAATTTTCTTTATTGCCCAATCTTAAAATTTTTTTTTAAGAAACTTTAAAGATTAATCCTACAGATTTCATAGATAAAGGGGGATAACTTCCAAATAGTAAACCTCTAGATGTACCCAAATTTCCAGGCAAGTTACATTTAAAATATTTTATAATATCCATATAACCCCTAAATATATGTACCCTTTTCTTAAATACTCAAATTTTTAGACTGTTCATGTTACTAGGAATCGGAATTTCGCTGTATAAATTTCTGACTCCTCTGGATTTTCTCCCTCAACAGGATTTGACACCCAGGCCACACACTTGATCCGGATGACATGATTTGTCATTATGGTGTTGAACTGGACCATGACAGATGGAGCAATATACTTGTCTGGATTTTTCTGAGGGAAGTATGTAAGGTTGAATCCAGTTTCAGGGAAATTTTGGATTGGCTTTTCTCTCATAGTGGGATGGTCTTTGTTATGGAGTGGGGCGTACCACCGGTCTGGTCCTATATGTTTTCTGTCCTCCTCTGTCTGTAACATATGGACAATTAAAATACAAGTAACGGAAAAGAACAATAACAAAAATAAACACTTCTGATATTAATGAAAGCAAATAAGAATTACAACAAAAACTGTCTGATCTGACAACTGTGTAAAGTGTTTCACTCCCACTTAATTTTTTCTTTAGACTGTGGAATCTGACATCTTTTCTATTCTGATACAAAACTTGTGTCCCAGTGCATGTTGGAATAGACAGGTTTCACTGTATTATTAATAGTATAAGCTAATTTCCTCAGCTATGAGGAGCAATTTTTATAGAAAGTATAACTGTTTACATCTGAAAGTATATCTGAAAAAAAAAATGCTACAGAGTAAGTGAATAACTCAACTCATATTTTTATTATCCTGGTTCTCAATGCCTTGTTTATTTTGTATATTTAGGAAAATTCCCTATAATTTTGTAAGCCCTGCAACAAAGTCACTAGTGACAGTCAAAGACCAGCAATCTGACTAGAATGCAATTTCATGTAGTTTTGTTGAGGCGAGAATTATCAAGTATGTTTGGCAAGTTCTACAGCTATTTAATAAACTCCAGTAACTACCTTACTTTCCCGCTTTTAGTGTTAATCATAATACAAGAACTCTATCTTGATATTCAAATTACTTCACTTCAGAACAAGCAAAGACAACATTGACAAGACTTACCTCCCCCTCACTTCAGAACAAGCAAAGACAACATTGACAGGACTTACCTCCCCCTCACATTTAAGACCTATGTGGTAAGGGGACCATGTGTCATTCAGCATTTTTCCTACTTTAGAGTCCTTAGGAAAGTTCTCAGGCACATCATCTGGTCTCTGAAAAAAAAAAGTTTTGAAGTAATACTTCAAAATTCTCAGTACTTCCGAGTACATTATATCATACTAGCCCGCAGAAATTTCATGCGACTATTTTTGTTTGAGAATCTTAATTAAGCTTAAATCTATGTTATTAAGGTTAACAAAATAGTTATTCAACAATTGCATTTTCAGAAAAGTTTAGTAACCCCCATTTTAAATATTCAGATGTGAAATATTCACAAAAGCTTGTAAATTGTGTTTTTAACAGCCTTTTGCACATGCAGTGATACTGAAATGTTGAAAACAATACCTACAATGTACAATATATATATAGACAAAAAGAGTCTTGACAGTGAAACACAAAATCTTACCAATCTCAATGTAAGAAGTACGCAAGGTCTTCCTTGTAAATATCCATAGTTACCAAGATGAGTGCACTGTGACCCAAAAGTCTCGACTTTCTGTACACAAACTTTGCCATCAGGGACTTTTTCTCCATTTTTACACTCCATGTAAGGATCTTTATCATAGGAATAACTATTGTAATCTGTAATCAAACAATTTAATTGCTAAGAAAATAACAAATGCAGCCAGTTTTACACAAATTTAATACCAAAACGATTAAAAATACATAAATCTACAATTATACATGTATAGAAATCTTCATGGACTTCTAAAATGCATAGTAACTTTTCATTCCTTTATTTTCGAAGGGGGATGACCTCATTCATATTTTATGAAAGGACTCATTTGTACTGAATAAATCTAAAATAATATTTATAAAACTAGAGGTACTGATACATGTAGCTTGATACTGTGGGCAAACTTGCAAAAAAAATACCCCGCACTGCAATTTTTTAAAGTGCCTATTTTGTAAATGTACCTTGAACTTGCAAAAATTACCTTGGTTAAAAAAAGGACACATCCTTTGGTCACAAATAATAACTATAAATACATAATAATTTTGAGTGAAACATTGGAAATCCAATGTTCTTCCATCAGAAAGAAAATTAGAGACCTGTCATGAATTTTATAATTTCCAGTGACTTTGAACATGTCACTATGAACTTGGGTCAAAGTTAGGACACCCCCTCAGGTCATAAACAATCTTTGTACCATTAAGTATGAGCTTCTAGTGATTTTCCATTACAAAGTTTTAGCCCAAAGAAAAATTTTCTACTTTTCTCCCAGTGACCTTGAACTTTTTATACCAAGTATGAGCTTCAAATGATTCAATTTTACAAAGTTATAGCTTGAACAAGAATTTTACACTTTTTCTGTCAGTGACCTTGGACTTGCCAGAATGACCTTGAGTCGAGATCATGGCACACCCTCAGGTGTTTGTATGAAGTATGAGCATCCATTGTCTTTGTATGAAGTATGAGCAATCTTTGTGTGAAGTATGAGCTTCCAAGGTTCTCCATTACAAACATGACAAAGTTATAGCCAAGACAAGATTGCACGAACAGACGACAGACACGGTAATTCTTCTGTATATACCCCAAAAACTTTGTTGGGGGGTGGGGGTGGTTAATAAACAAATCAGTAAAATCAGTGGGTAACAGACTAACATTGTCATAAACACAGTTATCCTTTTATCAACAGAATAAAATACACTTACCATGCATGTGGAAATCTAGATTATTTAGGTATGGATTCATAGAACCTTGATCTTGTGGACTGAAGTGAATCAGGGGATTGTTACCAACATCAGGCTGAAAGAACAGCCCTGTAATAAAGGATTCAAAATACATGTATCATACATGTAAAACTCAATCATTTAATCTTGAATATTTAGGCTATAGGCTAAAAAAAACATATTTAGCCTACATCCTACTGAAAACAACTCAGATATTAGGATATAAAAATAGGTCACACTATAGTAAATAATCCAATTTTGTTATTTGATTCAATTGAGATATATAAAGAGACATGTCTTTCACCAATGACTTCTGAATATCTTACAAATATATGTACACAAACTGAAAAGAAATATGCAGAACCATGTCCTATCATTGATTTATGTCTTTTAGCATGTCTAGTTGTTCCTGGATGTGGCTATAGAATAGTAGATGAGGGTACTTAATTATTCCATGACAGGATTGTTTCTTCATTTACTTATATTTGTCAAGGTTTTGGTTCATTTAACATGTTTAATATCATGTTTACACATGTTACTGGTACAGGTATACATAATAACACCCTGGCCTTATGACAATACTATTACACATGACAGTTTTACAAACTCCCCTTACCATACAATGATTTTACTAGATAATGAGGCATGTTTATTTAAGTGACTGCTTCAATTGAATGGGAAAATTCTATATACCGGTAGCTGAAAAATTTCACACATGATGATGCTAGATCAGCCATTCATTTAACAGCTAGATAACAATCACGACAATTGAGTTAATGAACTGTTCAGCAGTTCCCTCTCACAATCTGTGTTTATTAACTTGATAGAGATTCAACTTCACTATCTGTCAATGAAAGTTTCAGTTTTCCTTCTTTCATTTTCAGCTTAATGTAAAGAGTATCTTATACAGTAATACTAGTGCTCTCTAATTTTGAAAACTTCAAATCAGGAATTGCAAACTTGTGTATTTGCAATACTTATGCATGTTATATACATTCTCATTCGCAATCTTTGTAATAAATTTGAAATTTGAAGTAATGAGTGTGGATTTCTTAACTTATAACAGGGAATTATTTAATCTTAGACTAATTATAAATCTCGGATTTTCAGAAAATTTTGAAATTAGGTGTAGTGCCTGAAAACTAACTTAGTTTTGCTTGAAATATCAGTTTTCACTGTAGTAGATAATGTCTAAATGGGTAAGTGTGTATATAAGAAGCTAATATAATTGAATTATTGTTTATTTTTATTCATTCATGTTTTTATTGTGTTCCAATTTCATATTTTTATTGTTTATTTTCAGTCATAATTATTATTTCTAGGGTAAATGTCTTTTATGCAGTGTATCTGGTGTTCTAGTGTTGTATCTGTAGAAAATAATGACGCATGCGCAGATGGGGGTTAGTCGATGCCTGGCATCAAAAAACGACTAACCCCCATCTGCGCATGCGTCATTATTTTCTCGCTAAATTCTGCAGTTTTCTGCAATCAGACGGCGATATTAAAATAATCCATCGAATGTCCGTCATTAAATTATCCTACGACTCCACTGTTATCGCAGAACGTTCCTTCCGAGTTGTAGATATCCATTAAACATTGCCAACAACGCACGGCTTCATAGTCCCCATGAATGAAGACCCGACTAAAGAAATGACTCGCAGCAAACGAAAATACATACCGATGCGTATTCAGCACGACAACTGCACACACCTACATATGTTTTCACAACCGTAACAACTTTTAAATCCAACGAAACGCCCAGAAAAACGCAGCGATGTAAACACTACCAAATTTACAGCAGCTTCCTAATGCAGACAACCACTACTCGACGTCACAGTCGTAAAATACGACGTCACAGGTACACTGTTTTCCCGAACTTTTCTAAAGCAAAATGGCGATTAAGCATTGTGCGTAATATAAGGCATACTGTCTTTGTTGTTCAACACACGTACTTTTAATTGTTTGCAAAAAGTTCTCCTTTAACCAGGTAATTAAATTTCACAAGAGGAAAGGAAACTGGAATGTCTTTAGTACAGAAATCGGTCTTTGAAAATTGAAGATCCATGATCCGCCCACTTGTTTCACCTCCAGCTAAGAGGTGCATATTTAGTGTGCAAATCGAGAGTTTTCAAGCCATTGTGACGTCACCCTCAATAATTTGTCACAGATCATTGAAATCTTACAAATGAATCAATAAAAAAAAAGTAATAAAGAGTTAAACTGTGGAAAACATTAGTTTGAAGTCTTTGTGTACTATAAACAAATTCCCAAGTCTTTGTGACATTACTCTTAAACTTGCAATGACGGGGAACAGAGAAAAATACTGCGTCATAAATATAATAACAATAGTATTTGAATACACCAGTCAGATTAATCCACCCCGTGTCCTCTTTTCTTGTACTATACAAACGTATTTTTTTTAGACAGAATATCCCCCCCCCTGGCGAAAAACGGATCGAGTACTCAGTTCAAATATTTTTTTTTTTTTTTTTTATTATAATTATTTTCATCATCAATATATATATATATTTGTATTGGCTCCAAAAAAAAATATTGAACAAGTTAAATTGATGCAAATCATCAAATCGACCTCAAAAATATATAAATCAAAAATATATAGAGCATTTTGAAGTATTTCCAAAAGAAAGAGCCCCCCCCCCCCCCCCCAAATGCATTTATGGCAGAATCTTGGAGAGGCGGATCTAAGAAAAAAAAATTAAATATTTTCTTCAGTGGCATGTCTGATGCACCTTGGAATTTAGTGTTTTTTATTTTTTATTATAGCCTTAAAATAATTCTGAATCTAGGGAGAATCCACAGTGTGCAAGTCTTTCTAAGACACTGCGAGTTACCCCATACCCTGCATATTTCACTTACCCATTGAGAAGAAGGTAAACATGGCCTATTTACACCCTTCATACGTTCACAGGCAACATTTCTCAATATTTGAAATTTTAATTCTTTTCCCCAGACACTCTCCTTCCTATCTATGCCCTAAAATCAGTCCATCCCACCCCGTACGAATCCTAAGACATATTTAGGAGAAAAAACCCTGCGCTTTGCTTGGTCAATGAAATGGGGTAAAATTAGTACCTGTGGCATACTAATACTTTCTTAAATCAAATTAAGGGTTACATACAAATTCCAACATTTATTTTAATTTCCTTTTTATTTAACTTTGTTTATTGTTTACTCTTTTATTTTCTATAATTATATGTTTCATTTTAAATGTATTATTATTATTATTGAGCACATAAAATATTGAAATTATGCCACCACCACCCCCACCCCCGAAAAAAAAAATTAAAGGCGTCATATTATTCTTTAAAAATAAGATTTAAAGCTTTAATCTTATATCTGTAAAAGTTTTGGATCCTTCACTCAACACTGTTGACATCATTTGTCTCGGATAATATAAAGATAAGCGTAAGCCAGCGTTAATTGCGCATTGATTGATTTCAGTCTACATGCAGCTACACCAGAGAAAATCCACAGAATTTCTTCCCATGTAGAAAAGTGCATCTTTATGATAGATTTTTACACTTGTTCGACTTTTCTGTGTATTTTTTATCCCCTCGCAAGGGAGTTGCGTGTTTGTTTGTGGGTGAGTGAGATAGTTCTCTGCGAAACGGAAGTGACGTAATTTGCATTGGAATCGATGTCGGATGCTGCCTACGCTTATGGATAATAAATTGCGCAGCTCGATCACTATATAATAGTATGCTGCTAATCTATTATTATTATCATTTTCTTTAGCTTCATGTGGTTTTCTACCTTCTCAATATTTTTGTCCCAGTTTCAGACAATTGTGGATATGTAATCTTGCATTTTCACGAGTATCTTATTTGTGTATTGTAATCTTCCATTTATACCTACATGTTAAATATAACATGGTTAATATTCATGGTTAACATGGTTAATATTCTACCATATTACGATATTTTAATATTATTTAATTAAATGTGATCTTATTGTTATAATTGTGTTTGCCCTCTGAGGGCCCTTGATTGGTGAATAAGCATACTATTATACATCATATTTCAACAACATGGGAATGGGAAGGGGCTGTAAGCCTTTGAATGAAATTGTCCATACAAGGACTCTTTTAGGACAAACTATTATTGAGCAGATTTAGAGGGATATCTGGAGTGTCCAACTCCACCCTCGGATATTTTCTGGGATATAAAATTTAAATAGCAAAGTAAACCAAAATGACCCCCCCCCCTTTAAAAAAAACTCAGACACTTAGGACACCTGGTAAAATGTGATCGAATGAGTCATTTACATGTCCTAACACCCGCTCCCAAATAGGTTGTGCGCTTATGATTGGCTACTCCAAAAAATTGGAGATTTCTTTTCTGTTGGAGTAGCCCCCTCATTCTCCTAACCTCGGAAAATAATCACACGTTTCAAAGCACACCATCATGTAAGAAATATTAATTTATATGTTTATATTTCACATAAAATGTAAATCCTGTCTCTCCATATAGCGTCCCTGCATTGATGATGATTTTCCTGATGTTCACAGGCTCGACTTGTAGTACTAGTAATGCAGTGCTGGATTTTCAAACTCGCAATCGCGTGGCAATATTGTGTAGGAAACAGATCATGTCACATTTTGATAAAATATTTTGGAAAAAATAAAATAATTAATGATAGTGAAGGTAACATTATGTAAGCAAAATCATATAATTGTTCTTTTTTTTTGCTGGGAAAATTGTTAGACTGTAGTGATGCTTTTATAATATGCACAGTATTATTTCTTCTTCGAACAACAGTTAACACTTTACATGGAGGTTTACAATTCCTTAATTTTGTTGATACTAATGTAGATTAAATATTATCGATAATGTAAACCTTTTGTCTTTATATGCTATTTTTAAATGTCTCGTTCCAGCTGATGCATAAAAAGAGAGATTTCCTTTTATTGACAATGCAGCCCCTTAGAATGCCGGGGGGGGGGGTGTCTAAGTATAGTTTTTCACTGTTGTAAATCTTTATTTAAATACTTCATGTAGTCTCCCCCGTTTTGTTGCAGCATTAAGATCTAGCACTCGCAAACTCCTGCTGTTGAAAAAGAAATGTACTAA